ATATATATAGAGAGAGAGAGATATACACAGATATACATAGAGATACAGATATATATATAGAGATATATATATATATATATATATATATATATATATATATATATATATATATATATATATATATATATATATATTTCGTGTTATTTTACGCGAGAACCTTCTCAGTGGTCGTGTAAAATCACGCGAGACCTGAGTCGGTTCTCGTGTAAAATCACGCGAGCACAATTTTTTTTTTAAATAATAATAATAATAAGTCGTAAAATATATTAAAAAAAAAATTCTTACTCACGTGATTTCACGCGAACAGAGAAGTTTTGGTCGCGTGATTTCACGCGAGCAAAACATCCATGTTCGCGTGAAATCACGCGAGTAAGTTTTTTTTTAATTAATAATAAATTAAATCGCATTAAAAAAAATAAAAAATTGTACTCGCGTAGTTTCACGCGAATAAAGAGCTTTTGCTCGCGCAGAATTACACGAGTACATGGTCTCTGTTCGCGTAAAACTACGCGAGTACAATTATTATTATAATAGAGTAATTTTTTGACACAATAAAAGTAAAAATTTGAGTAATCGTTCAACACAATCAAAATAGAAAATCGAGTAATCGTTCAAAACAATAAAAACAGAAAAACAAGTAACTGTTCTACACAATCAAAATAGAAAAACGAGTAACAATCATCCTACTACAGAACTAATGAAAATGGAAAATAATAGTCAAAATAAAAAACAATTGTCATAACTATCCTACTGTCTAACCCTCGATCCACTTGTTAGAGTAGGTGACCAACAAGCCAACATGTGGCTGTGGTCTTTCGTATTTATTATTGTAATAAACGAACCTTTATTCGTATTAATGATAAAACACCTTGGCATTCTATATCTTTGTCCCTTTGTCACAAGCATAGATATAGTCCTTACAGTTATTACAAGTACTAGTAATTGATCGTTAGGATCGTGAGATATTTACTTAAGTATTATAACTGTTAAACATGTTCCTAGTCGAAGGGTTACGCCACTAATGAGGATATCGGCCTTTCCCATTAAGACTAGCACTTAGTGTATGTGTACTGCATCTCATCAGTAAACGGTATTGTGATATCGGCATGCATAAGTGGGTGCTCGTAAGTTGACGAGTTCACTGAACTCCCTCACCCTAGAAATCTCTAAGTGGTTCCCAATAATCGAGTAGAGATATCTATGGTATAGTTGTACACCATTGGTCCTTATGACCTAGACATCACCGTGACTTCACTAGAGGACCAGCTGTATCGTGACCTGTCCCTGAGTTCCACCGAGGACCATCCCAAGGGCCAGTGTTCGTGCAGTCCGAAATCTAGTGGGAGGTCTGTGCATTGTAGTCGGGGATTCGATCGCTAGAATAGTCTTGGATGTCCTGTGTGTTCTGAAAGCTTGTAATCATTCTAAGTCTCTGGCCAGAGCTGACTAAGTGATGATTAGAGGATTCGATTCTCTAAGTCATGCACGTGACGATTACAATACTTAGAACGATCGCACCGTCATTGAACATATAAAGAGGTCTCGATGAACCAATGCCTCTAGTTCGATCGGGACATATGAATCGAAGGGACCGTACTGTACGTTAACTATATCTGAAGGTTCTTGCAGGCACTTCATTTGTATCTAGGGAATCATGACGCGTAGTTGCTAGACGCCAATCTTGATTCGTTGGGTGATTAAGGTGAAACGAGCTTCATCTTAATCGTAACTCTAAGGGACGAGTTTTGACCACAAAGGGTTGTGGGCCCACGGCTAGCTTACACCTGAACCATCGAGGGTCACACTGCTCGTGCACATGAGATCTTTGAATAAACGATCAGAGATAAAATAGTTTATCTTTGCATAATTGGAAGTCAATACGATTGAGTCCAACATTCGTAATTTGGAATTACGAATGAGAAGAAGAAAAGGAAAAGAATAGGCGAACGTTGTAGTGGACTTTCTAAATCGGGAAGTTTCCAAATTTAGAAAGTGCACTGAACTAGGGTTTCCACTTTTAGAAAGTTGGAAAATGAGAATTGACACTCGTAATGACGAGGACTTTATAATGATTCCCAAAATGTAATCGTTGCAATTTTTCGGTCATTGGATTGAGAGAAACGAGCAAGTAAAAGTACTAGCGAACTTAAGCTGTTGGGCCCGGTCCAACTTAAGCCCGCTAGGGTTTTATGCAAGACATATAAATACTTGATTTATAGGTCTTGCACACAAGACAACTAAACCCTAACCCTAGCCGTCCACCCCTCTCTCTCTCGGCCTCTCTCTCCCACGGCCAACACCGCCGCCCACTCCGCCGCTTCGCCGGAATCGGCCGTTGATCGGCCGATTGGCTTGGTAGTCTCTTTCCTTCTCTTTTTCTTCCGTTTTATTCTAACTACTTCGTGTCTAGTGCCACGTTTTAGTAGATCGAAGTATACGAGGTGAAATCCGAGAGGAGGAAGACTGTAGATCGAAGAATCGAGGAGCAACGCACGAGCCGAAGCCGCACGCTGCCCCACGCGCCGCCCCGGAAGTCCGCGCGTGAAACTCACGCGCCGCCGTGAGCTGTCTCACCGCCGCTGCTGCTGCACCGTTGCTGCCCCGATTGTACGGATTGGTTTCCGTAGCAATCTCGACGTGTTAAACGCTCCTACCTCACGCGTCAAGCGGTAAATTCACGAAACCCTAGTTTCGTTTCGATTAGGTTTAGACTATATTCATGTTTGCTTTCGTATGATTTTATGTAATTATGTGTAATCGTTTTAAATCATTGCAAGCATGTTATTTGGTTTAAACGCGAGCATGTTAATTGATTTAAATTCGGTTAAATTTATTAGCATGTATGTTATTTTTAATTTCGCTGGTAGCGCAAAGGTACGCAATTAATTGATTTAAATTATCGGGCATGTACTATGTGCTTTAAAGTTGTTTAAATCGCATAAAATTTTTGTTTTCCGCTGCGTATGCGTGCCCGAAACCCAACAGTGGTATCAGAGCTCGTTGCGCAATTAATTGCGTCGTTTAATATGCTATGATTTTATGCATGTTCG